CTCATGTCAGTGCAAATTTTTCAAAAATGCGCTGCCCACACCACCTTAAAGTTTTCCATTCAAATTATATGAAAAAAGCAAATAAAGAGATGGAATATACATGGAGATATACATTTTTTTAAAAATCAGCTGTCATTACATAGAAAGAGAATATCCTTTCACATCATCTTTGAAAAACAGACTGGATAATAAATTACATTTTATTAATGTGGGAGGAAGAAAATGAGACTACATTGTCTATTCAAATAGAAAAACACCAGGTGGAAAAACCAAACAAACTACTATTGCACAACATGTATCAATGAACCTGCAAAGCATTTCTGCTGGTGACTGTTTTACAGTTAGCATATATTTAAAAACATATAAGATATAAAATTTTGATTTTTTGTCATAAATAAGTTTCTCGATATCCAAAAGTCCATTATTAGCCAAATATCATAACAACAAAGTAACTGTTATACTATGCTATACTATTTAATATGAAGTCATTAGTTTTTCAATATTTTGTAAAAAAGTGTGATCGAGTTGCTGGTAGGTGACTCATGAGATGTCTCTGAGTGCAATGGATTAATATTGTTGTGTCTCAGGGAATGGGGTGGCCTGAGTAGAGGGAGAGACACAGGAAACCCAGTCAGTGCAGCAGTCAGAACACATGCAACATTTATCAAGTGAGACATCCCACATGGTTCAGTTCACAGTGCCCCAAAACAATTATAATAATCACATCAAGGATCACTGATCACAGGTCACCATAACAGACATAATGATAACGGAAGGGTTGAAGTACTACCAAAATGTGACACAGAGACACAAAGTGAGCACATGCTAATATAAAAAGGGCACCTAGAGTCTCGCTCAACACATGGCTGCCACAAACCTTCCATTTGTAAAACACACAATTCTGACAAGTACAGTAAAATGAAGCACAATCAAACAGTGCAGGCCTATAAATCAGTGCAAGGAAAATGACTTCTGTTCTTAGGCGGAAAACCATCCAGGGAAACAAAAAAAAAGATGCTTGGGGCAAGATGGGGTGAATAAAGAGGGTAGGGCATGGCGGTCAGGCCATATTTGGTCAAAAACTGCTGAACGCTCACTGTGGTGTGGGCAGGTATGCTGTCATGGTGGAAGAACCAATCACCTGTTTGCCACAAAAAAAAGTTCACTGAAGGAGAATGCAGCATCTCACAACGCTATCTGGTACGCTGATGTCAACAGGTTCCTAGAACACTTATGTAGAAAGGGAAGCCTGTACTACAACAGGCCTACCCTCCAAAAGATAATTCCAGTTCTTTGGAGGGTACTCTCTAGTAGCTTCTATTCTGGAGAAAAAAGGCTGGCAAACTACAGCTTGAAGTCAAATTTGGCCCTATTTTGGCAAATGAATCTTTACTGGAAAGCAGCCGTGCTCATTCATTTATGTATTATCTATGGCTGTTCTCAAACAACAATAACAAAGACAAGTAGATGTGATGTAAACCATAGGCCTTCAAAGCTAAAATATTTTCTACCTGGGTCTTTGTAGACAATTTTGCTAACCTTTGCTCTAAAAAAGCAAGAGTGGAAGAGTTAGGAAGTTGCTATATTAATCCAGGTAACAAAAGATGGCTTTGGACTAGGGTAACAGCAACACAATTAATTAGCAAGTAGTGGACATAGTCTAAAAATATTTTAAAAATATAACTGATAAAATGTGGCATGTGAGAGAAAGTAGTGAGTAACTGTCATAAGAGAGAATCTAGAATAATTAAAAAATAAAGCATAAATTATCAAATGCCTAACATGGCCACATTAAGTCACGAAGTTTCCATATCAAATGTCTAAATTTAAGCAATGTGACTTCTTTACAAATCCATTAAAAATTATTTGATCCACCAAAAGTCCAATACTACAATCATTTTCTTGGCAATATTAAGGCATCAGTTCAATAGCCAAAGATCTAATTTGAACTCTTGAAATCTAATCCATGAAGGATTGTAGTTCACTAAATCAAAAGTTGTAGAAAAAAATTACAAAATCTACAAATAATTTTATGTTTCAAATATAGTTTTCTACAAAACAAAGTATAGCAATGTTCAACAGTAGCAAAATTATACTTTAATCACAGAAAAAACTACTATACAGTATAGTTGGAATATAAGTAACCTTAAGACTAATTATATAATGGGAAACGTAATAATATTTCATTCAACATAACTGAATCTGTACTATACTTCAGTTTCAAAAATAATATATGTTGTGTTGTAACATGATTTTATACATCCTTCAATAAGACATGTGTCACAACATGCTTTGATTATTTTTAATCAATCTGGAATATTCATAGAGTGGATCGCAAAGAATAGAAACTTCATATAAATTATCCCCAGTGAGATAAAGCACTGTCAAAAGGCTATAAAAAGACATAAAAAATATGGTAAGTCTATACAATGCCACAAATGAAACTGAGATATTTACTGTTTTTTCAATCTTTCTTTAAAAGCCTGCATAAAACAGCCAAGGAAAAGTAAGAAATACAACTTGATAAAGCAGTCTTTAAAAAAAACTTCCTAGAAAGTCTGAAGAGAACATAAAACTGAAATAGAAGGCAAGATATGCTTATGAATAATGGGTCTATTTTAATTATAATGTGCTTCTTAACTTAAAATGCTATTATGTGACTCCTAATGTTCAGAAACAACTGTGCAGGATTAGTCAAGAGATTCATTTAATAGAATGATTCCTATCAAAAGCAAACCTCATTAGTGTTGACTCACACAGTGGCTTAGATTTGGAAACACTGCTCAGAAACCTTTCTAATTTTCCAATTATCTGTTTATAACAACAAACCAGGAGCATATGCAAATATACTTTAAATTATATCTCTCCCAAAAAGAGTACACTGAGTGAGAAGGCTAATAGTGCAAAAAGTCACATTTTTATTATTCTAGCATCCAGGACTCCTGCCTAGTCAATCAAGGGAGGCAGCAAGACAAGGAAGAAGCCTCAGCCCAATTTCTATCTCCTGATGTATTTCAAATTTCCCTGTCAGTTTTCCTAAATTAGCTCACAAGTACAGATTACAGACCACAGATTATAAACTATTTAGCTTAGTACTATGTTTTGTTTGTTTCATTTTAACCTGTGCGCCTTAGATGGATCTGGACTTTCCAAATCACTATAAACTCCATTATTACCCATTGTCCCATACATGGTTGCTTCACACATTTTTGTTAATTAACTAGTTACCATCTTCCCAAAAAGGATGGTGTGTGGTGCTATACAAAGGGATCCAAACTACCACAGTATAAAAGACAAAGCTCTCCATAAGTTCTAAAAGAAATGGTTACAAAAGAATCCTATATATTGCAAAGTTCAACATTTTCCAGGGGTAGACAACTAATGTTAACCTACAGATCTCCTGACCCAGATATCTGCCTAGGATTTGTCTCTAAGTCTTACTTGCATTGCCCCTTTGCACTTCTACCCACCATCCTGAGTGTAGCCATAACTACCCACACAACCCTATTGTATAAGTACACCTCCATGTCTACCTAGTAGCTACGAAAAAGGTCACTGTTCATCCAGTACCCTTCATCAATTTATCAAAGTTCAACTCCTCAGATTCACAGACTGGAAAAAAAAGCAGCTATATGTATCAAAAATACAAATGCTATAAGATCCAATTATTCATAAAATGTATCCCTCAAGATTTTCTTCATCAAATTATGTTATTTTCTGGAGATAAAATTAATGTACAAAGATAAAAGTCCAGTATAACAAACATTTTTATATGACACTGAAAATTTACTCAATTAAAGAAAAAGAGGTTTAGATATTATTATAAAGCTATCATGAATATACAGCAAAATTTACTGGATACCACTCAGTTACTAAGTAAGAACTTAAAGAATCAACTGAGCCTGCTCACATGATTATATAACACAGTTAAAAATTACTGAGGACTGGGCACTATGACTCATGCCTGTAATCCCAGGACTTTGGGAGGCCGAGGTGAGAGAACTGCCTGAGCTCAGGGATTCAAAACCAGCCTGGGCAATTTGGTGAGACCTCATCTCTACAGTAAATCAAAAAATTAGCCGGGCATGGTAGCGTATGCCTGTAGTTTCAGCTACTGGGAAGGCTGAGACAAAAGGATAGCCTGAGCCCAGCAAGTTAAGGCTGCGGTGGCCATGAGTGGGCCACTGCACTCCAGCCTGGGCAAGAGTGAGATTCCGACTCAGGAAAAAAAAAATTATAAAACCCAAGGAGTTTATGTGAGTTATATTTTTAGATACCATACTAGCAATTAAAACAGAAATTTTTAAAATATTTGTTAATTTATTTTAAAATAATGAGTTAATTACATAAACATACATTTTTATTAAAATAACTATAATTTACACACACAAAATTTAGTGAGGAGTGTGTTACTGTTTCACATTTTTGCAAATCTCTTTCATGTCTAGATAGCTGATATAAAAGAACACAGTTGGATTCTCAAAACTGTTTCTGTGTATGTTATATTGCTGTATTGTATGTTATCTCTGGAAATCTCCCCTATTATTCATGAGAAAACAAAGTTTTAAAAAGTAAATAACATTTTTATATTCTTTTGAAAAAAGTTTTAAACTCAGACTACTTGAAAGAATCTTAAGGAGTCCCTCAAACTCTCTGATCCTTACTGTATATTCATATTTTATGAATAAGTGGATCTTATAACATTTGGATAAAGTGCAATACTGATACTTTAATACTTTAAAACACCTTGGATTATTTTTCATTTTATCTATCAGATCTCACCATAAAAATTTTTAACACGTTTCCAAATGCCTGATTAGCTAGAAGACTGAAAAAGCTAATAAATATTTACTCTTAAAGTTTTAGAACAGTGATCTCGGCAAAGACTTTAAGAACAAATTTTAAAATTTCTTTTATTACTTATACCTGCTATAGGACATAGTAGAGTCATAAGAAGTCTTATGAACATATTCACCAACTATGGGTCTCAATAAACCTACCTCTTCTGCCGCTGCCTCTGAAAGCAGACCTTCTTTCTGGGCACAGGTCACATGGAAATAGGCTCTGCACATCCCGGCATCACAGCTAATGCAAACTCCAGTTCTAGCAAAGCGAGGGTCTTCACAAAAGCTACACTCCTACAATAACAGGAAAACTCTCAGAGGAAAGACATTTTCAGAACAAAGACTGCATTCTCATCTGAAGCATCCAGTAAATATTTAAAATGCTAAAGAAATACAAATAGTGAACCAACTGTGTACCAACACAAATGATAATTGTAAGCAAGCCAAGAGATTATATAAAAAAAGTAATTATCTTATAGTTCTAATAAACAAAAAATTGACTAATTCAATAATGACAATAACAAATAACAATATAATCATAATGGGTATTATTTGAAAACTTAGTATGTGCTAGGCACTATTCTAAGCACTTTACATATACATATAGTCCCCAATTTACAATGATTCAACTTAGGATTTTTTTACTTTACAAAACTGCAAAAGCAATGCATATTCAGTAGAAACCATACTTTGGGTACCCATACAACCATTCTGTTCTCCACTTTCATAACAGTATCCAAAAGCTACATGAGATATTCAACATTTTCTTCTAAAACAGACTTTGTGTTAGATGACTGTATTTGAAAGTATTGGCTAATGTAAGTATTCTGAGCATGTTTAAGCTATTATTTTCACTAGGTTCTAAAGTGTGTTAAATAAATTTTGACTTGATATTTTCAACTTACAATGGCTTTATTGGGGCCTAACCCCATTGTAAACTGAAGACCATCTGTACAAATACGTGTAATCATTTAACACAACTACTATGAAGAAGAGGTACCATAATTATTGTCAAGTTACACATGAAAAAATTGAGGTGAAACTGAATTTAAAACCTGCTCAAAATAACAAAGAAAGTAACAAGAAGTCAGACTCCAACCCAAGATAATCTTACTTTAAAACCCATCATTAAGCTATGCTAACTTTTAAATGATATAATATTGCTTGAAAAATAGAAGGAAATAAATAAATGACCAGACAGACTCTAACAAAGAATCTAGGCACTGCAACCTAGAAATCTTGCATTTTTAAAATAACTTTAAGAGAACTAAAAGTAATATTAGGTGAAACTGATAATAATATATAATTCCTTCTATACAGAAAAGAAAAAAATTAAAACTAAAGTATGAACTGTTGAAATTACTCCAAATCTTCTCATCAAATTAATTTTTTTCTTTTAACTATCTTAACAAAAGAGAGACAAAAAAACTAGTCCCAAATATAAACTGCTCTAGTAATTGGAATCTTTAGAAAAGAAAAATCTAACTAAATTGTGAAAGATTACCAGTGAAAAATTAAAAAACTATTTAGTATATGTACTCTAGTTAAACAAATAACTATAAAGAAAAATGTTAAAATTTTAAGAGATACTAAAAATACTGTTTTAATACTAAAATAGTGACTACATACTGGGCAGACAGAACCTGACTGGACATCAAAAATGAACAAAAAAAAGCAGGAACAAGATTCTCATATAGATGTGAAAAAACCCCCAATCCTGACATTCTACTGACTATGATCTTTTACTAATAAAAGTAGTGGCAAATAGCAATCTAACCATGAGGGAGAGACAGAGAGAGAGAGAATGAGAAAAGTACTGGCAAACAGTAATCTAACCGAGAGAGAGAGACAGAGAGTGAGAATGAGAGAGAGAAAAGGAGGGAGAGAAAGAGAGAAAAGAAAAAGAGAAATTAAAATACTTAAAGGATGTCAACACCATTAACAGAAATAAACTGTTTTGGATAACTCCCTGAGTGGGCAATTTCATGTAATATGTTGAAATTGAGCAAGCAATTTCAGAGTAAATACAAGGAAACATTTCCTGACAGTAGAATCTTATTAGATTATAAAACTATCTATTAAAGAAAATAGAATCTTCCTCAATTGCCTGAATCATTTAAAATGCTAGGAAACTAAACAACTGAAAACACAGGGGAGAACATAATTCCGATTAAAAATGGTAGACAATGTGGTCCAGAAGACTGTCCCAGTTATAATTCACAATTGTATTTAATTTTGCAGATGAGCTACAGAGTATATAATTTTCAACTCCACTCCCCAGTGATATCTTCTTAAAGCAAAAGAAGCAAGAAGCCATTGTTTCTGTACCCAGAATCGCATACAAAGTGAAATTTAACTTAGAAAACTTCCTTATAACTGATCAAATTTTTAAAAAAGGAAAAAAGGTTCAACCAACCACAAGAGCCAATTAGTCATTAGGTGTGTAACTAGAAACTTTCCACTGGATCATGCCTATATAAGATAAACACATCGCTGCAGCCAATTAAGTACTATGGCTCCATATCAGCCTATACGAGCTCACTACTAATGCTGCTAAAGTAGAGCTCCCTGAAACTCTTTTGGTTTTGAGTGCTTCCCAATTAATAAATCTTTGTATGCTCAAAAAAACTCTGTACATTTACTCTGTTAAATGTACAGGCATACATCAGAGATAAAGCAGATTCAGTTCCAGATTACAACAGTAAAGTGAGTCACATGAACTTTTTGGTTTTCCAGTGCATATAAAAGTTAGGGCTGGGCATGGTGGCTCACGCCTGTGGTTCTAGCACGTTGGGAGGCTGAGGCAGAAGGATCACTTGAGCCCAGGAATTCGAAATCAGCCTGGGAAACATAGCAAGACCTCGTCTCTACAAAAAAATCAAAAAAATTAGCTGGGCATGGTGGCGCACACCTGGAGTCCCACCTACTTAGGAGTCTGAGGTTTAAGGATCACTTGAGCCCACGAAGTCAAGGCTGTGCTAAGCCACGATCATGCCACTGCACTCAAGCCTGGGTGACAGAGTAAGGCCTGACTCACAAAAAACAAAACAAAAAAACCTTATAATCTAACAAGCCTGAGAATCATTTGCGAGGCAGAAGGTTATATGTAGTCATGAAGATAAAACGAGTCACTGAAATCTGTATAAAATAAAGGGTGCTTCTTATACTCTTTTTAGTAATTTTGATAAATTTCACTTTAAAACTAGAAATCAGTTCTGCATTTGATACAACTTATAATACAGCCTTTGGTCTATGTACTAGGCAGTGTAAACAGTGCCAGGGAAATAGCAGTCACACCAATTATCATTGTACCCCATGTGTTATTCTAAATTAAGAATACATGGAATAATTTATACCTATTTGCTCTCTAAAAAGCTACTATCAATAAAGTGATTTAATGCCAAATAGCATGATTACTAATAAATATTTCTGTAGTCAACAATTATATAAATAAAAAGTCATATAAACTAACAAGCAAAAACTTCCTCTTTCAGACAATCAAAAATACTGTCTCACCTTGGCACCATATTTGGAATAGTTCATTTCTGTGAGTGTTACTGGTCGTAATTTGTCAATATCTCCAAAGGCTACTCCAGGAACATACAGGGCACAAACAATATGAACCCATCTATAAGGAGAGAAGACAGGAGTTTGCTTTCATGAAATTCCCACATGGAACACAAACACATAAAACATGTGCTATCTAAGAATACTACTGAAAGAATTCTGTAATCAAATGTTAAAATCTCCCATTCTCAGGAACATAACTGAAGAATATGAAACATATAGAATGATAACACAGTTACAGAAAAAAGGGTTGCACTTAACTTTCCCAGCAGCTTAATCAAAACTGAGAGTTAACAACTATAACTGCCTTTCACTTAAAATTCACTCACTGTATTTTGCAGTTATCTACTATTCTTAAATATTGGCATAAAGCTACTATTCAATTGAAACAAACATCATTTTCAGATGCATAGAAAGGTATTCACATTCATTCCTTTAAGCAATTCCAGAATAAAGGATGCTAATTTAAGAACTGTGAGGTTATGCTGCAGTAATTAGGTAAAATTGCCCTATCCTGTTAGGTCCCTTCCAATTGCTGTAATATTTAAGAACACATCTTATAACAGTTTTGGTAAACAGTTTGACTTCCTTTCTTCCCAGGTTAAAACATGCTGCTGGAAGAAGGTACAGAACGTTAATATAATATAAGCAAGTTACATTTTCCTTCACCTCATCTGTTCACCATACAACCTATGGACTAAAATCTATATGCCCCAAATATTTTTAAAGTCTGGATGATGCTTTAAGACTAAACAAAGAATGCTCAGAATTTCAACACAATGAAAAAATAACAGAAAGAGTTGGTTCTAACTTCATTTTTTAAAAACTGCTCTGAGCCATTTTTAATATACTTGGCACCCTTTCTGTTTGCTTGCAACCAAACAAAATGTGGGATCCCTGACTTTGAAATTTAGACAGCATATCTATATCACTTTTGTAAGAAAGAGAGTAAAAATGAAATGACAAATCACTATTAACTTGCAAATATATTAACAGCAAAATCTGCTTTATCACAACTTGAAAGACTATGAATGTCACAGGATTCTGGTTTTGTGATGCATTATGAGTCTTAAAGGACTAAAACCAAGAATCATCTACAGAGGTACTGGGGAAAATGTTTAAAATCTTTTTTTTTAAGTTATCTTTTTTTATGGGAAAAAGTCTAAGGCTTTGAGATTTTCTTGATAGAACATTTTAATCCAACCTCCCAAATGCATCCTGTGAAGTTCAATATAAAGATACACATCTTCAACAAGCGGCTGCTTTCTCAATTTAATTTGCGCAGTTTTTTCATGCTCCATTGATGTATTAAATGTCGCTGTACTCTGTAGGAGTTTATCTCTGATAAACCCAACAGCTGGCTGCTTGCTTCATACTGACCTTCTTAAAATGTTTTAGTATAAGTCACACAAGTATTACAGATTTAAACTTCCATTTCAGTGTGATTGGCACACAAGTGCATCATTTCTTCTAGCCACTCATGTGAGGATACCAACTTGAGTCCTTATTAAAATACATATTAAAGTCAATGAAAATCACAGCCAGGATGATTTTGGTTCTTCTTATAATCAGTTGTAAATAGTTTTGTGTTCATTTGTTTAGCTGCACATACTTTAGAACTTTGTAATTAGGACAAATCTGGAAATCAAAAATTTCCTCTTCCTTGTTACCATTGATTTTGTTTGGAGCTATCATGGCATGTTGATTGGGGAAAGGAGCAGAAAACAAGTATCACATAAAGCTACCAAAAACTGTGATTCTAGTATAACTAATTAATAACTTCTTTTAAATTCACATATTTTAACAAAGCAGACTAAGAAGAAAGATAGTTCTCAAAAGATCATCATATCAAAATGGAAACCATATTAATCAATAAAACTGAATTTTGAAATGCCCTGTGTCTGTGGTGGCTTTACAGAATATAAAACAAATTCCTTTCCAGTATGTTTCTTTCATTCTCCCATTCAGTAATCAATTACTAAGTTTCTACTAGGCACAGAACACTACAAAGGCAGTGTGAAAGTTATAAAGATGCATATCAAGTACATATAGTACAGTATCTGGCTTGTTGTCTTCATTCAAGAAATGTTAGCTACAAGAAAAAATAAAAGCCTAAAAGCTTCTGGTCAGAGGGAGATTGTGACTCTCATTTTGCATACCAAGAATCGGTTTCAGAAGGACTGAAATGATTTTCAAATATAACAAGGCTAGCAAATAATAGAACTGAGACTTACTAACTCAAGAGAATTTTGAAGAAAAAACAAACTGAGAATTAAGGAATTCAGTGCTGCCTGCCACAGCAACCATAATATTTATTTTAAAAATTTAGGAATCTAGTTCCTAATTTCACAACAGACTGAATGACAACCAACAAAGAACATAAAGGACAGTATGTCAAGATTACCTACAGTCAGATTTAAAAGACCACACAAAACAGGATAAAATACTCTCTATAAGATAAAAAATAAAAAATTAATGACAAGAATGTAATGGTGGTTTTCTTACATAAAATCACATCATAGTCTATGTAGAGCTGGAGGTTCCCATGAAGAATAGAGGGAAAGAGTCATGTTGATAGAAGTCAACTTCAAAACCTTTTTCACTGTTTACATACGTTATCCTTTCTTTTCCCCTGCTTTCTATTTGAAGCTAGAATACTAAAAGGCTTGTTAAATTTTCTTGGCTTATTATGCCTTAAATCAAGCTAGTATTATTGCATTCCTTCAAAATATATCAAGGCCTATAATTTCCTCTACACCCTATAGGTAAGCATGGACATCAACATATGCAAAGTGTCCGAATGGTATATAAAAGAATTTCTGTCAGGCTGCACCATCAAGGGAGACATCCACATATGTAATATCCACAGGATCCAATATAAATATCTCTCAGGAAATCTAAATGGGTGAAAAGACCTCCTTTATTTTCATTTCAGAAACTACTTTACAAGTTGCTTTGCTGGCTATGATAGTATGAAGAAACCATTACAGTTTTTCAATAGAACTTTTACATTATTAACAAGAAAAAAAGTAAAACAAATTATCTTCCCTAAAAGGAAACTCTGTGTTTTCCAAAGCACTCTTACTTATTTCAACTCTCAGGATTGGAAGAGTTACCAGAAAAAATGTATGCATCAGCTAGTACTCCGTGACAAACTTAACTAGGGAGTTCAATGCTGGTATCACAAAAGCACTAGAAGTAGCAGCAGCAGCACTGGGGGAGTAAGAAGACATCTACTAACCATTCACTATGTTCCACAAACTGTGCTGTTTTACCTGAGTCATTTCATTTCATCCTCTCAACATGCTAAGGAAACTGAGGCATTAAAAGGTTAGATCACTTGCCTAAAATCATAAAAACAAAGACCAGAATCAAATGTAGGCAATCTAACTTACAAGTATACACTTTTAATGCTTACTAAACTCCCTAATTCTAGGCTAAAGGCAGTCCAAACGTAATATAATGCCCATGTCTATGACGTAAGCCACAGACTCATGTCAACAAATCAAATCATGTTATATATTCATATTATTTTTAGATGGGTGGTGAGGAAACAGAGTTAATATTTCCAGTCATTTTTCCTGAACATCATCAACACAGGGTTCTCCAAAAATTCCCTAACAGATTCTAGGTTATCCCAGCAATCTTGTATGCCAACATTTCTCAAGGTCCTCCTGTACTCTAATTGAGAAAAAAATGAGAAACATAGTTTTTACTTTACTAAACTAAAATTTATTAAGTAAAAAAGCCTATCCTATATTTTAAAACAAAATGTGTCCTATCCTTTTAAATGCCAAAATACGGGAAATGATGGTGATAATAGAGACAGATTGTTTTGTTGTTCTTGTTAAAATATAAAGTATGTTTAATAAAAATAATGAAATATTGAAATATGTGGCAAAATAAAAACTTAAGTAGTCCCCTCTTACATTATGGAGGAAAAGGAAGTGGAAGACAGGGATCTCCATAAAATACAAAAGGTTGAAAATCACTTATATTCAAATTGCAACCCCATACAGTAGTCTCCTGAAAAGAACATAAAAGATGGCAATGCTATTATGATGACAACTGCTCATATGTGATGAGTGTGAATGTAGTAAAAGAACACAGTTGTTTGTGCTAGTTGTCAATGTACTGTCTTCTCAGCTCCAAATTCATGCTTTAATAACTACTCTAAAATGATGGACAGTTTCTTCAGCAAACCCCTACACGGTGAGCGTGACACTCAGTTCAAGGGTAACGGACAGAGGAGGAGGAAGAGGCTTCTTAGCAGAGCTGGTCGGAGTCCAGAGGGCACCCTTTCAATCTTGCCATCCCTTGGATAATCCCCCTCAGTCCCAGGGTATTCTTTAGAGTTCCTTTGTATCTTACGGTTTACTCTTTTTTTATCATAGCTTAATAATTCTTCATATTAAACTTCTTTATAAATCACTGCATAAGTTCTGTCTTATGCTCTCCAAGTCAGACAGATCTAGGTTGAAATTTGACTGTTCAAGCATGTGCCTTGAACCAATAAAGTATTTAAATATTCTGAGGCCTGGGCACTATATCTATAAAATGGGAAACTATACCACTTGCCTCATCATGTCATTATTAAAATTAAATGAGACCATGGGTATAAAGGTAAATGCAGGTACTCAATAAATGGTCGTTCCTCCCCCTCTTTCCCCATTTGTAGACTATTGGCCATTCACTCTATGCCAAGAAGCTAGAAAGAGGCAATCAAATGAAAGTGTGCAACTCAGAATCATAATGAAAAGAACAGGGTAGTCAAAAGGAGACACATTATAAAGCAGGCATATGAACCAACATAATCATGACAACCTTCCAGCATCTGTCTCCTTGAAAATTCCATCCTGATTAGGACATAGTTCACAGCTAGGAGAAACACCACATTTACAGGCATCACAGAACCAAGGTTCAGTGGAATTTTCAGAAGCTGAACTCATAATAGAGTCACTCTCTCCATCAACTCCATAACAACCTAAAAAAAAAAAAAAAAGCATGATTAAACAGGGATTATTTTTTAAGCTCACATTTATAAAATCACAAAAGGAAATGAAAAGAAAAGGGAAGGGAGGAGCGAAGAAGACTGAAAAACACAGAAGTAAAATCATTTTACTAAGATATTATTTATTTGATATAATATATACAACAAAATTTTGAAATAGTTTTAGTCCTACTAGAAAAGCACTAAAGATGAGAAAATATTTAATATTTTTTTAATTTTAAAAATATATAAAAATGTGAGTTGTCATTTTAAAAAATCAGATTAATGACCTATTGGTTAATAACTATTTATCGAACTCCCTTTGTACCAGGTACTAGTGTATAAAAGAAAAGGCACATGCAAAACAATCACATAAACAAAAAAATCCTCATACATTTGCAAATGCAAGGATTATTTTAAAAAATATAGAAACTACATGCACATATAAGCTAAAGTTACAAGAGAACAATTTCAGAAATTCAGACTAGTGTTCGAGTTACAGTCACTACTAAATCAATTTTATCTGAGGTATGTAATCTCTGTAAAATCTAAAATTCTCTGTCTTCTGTGAAAATTTATCCATAACTGAAATGGATAAAAACAACAGGTCATTCTCTTTTATCCTCCTCTCATTCACTAAACTCTATATTCTGAGAGAAGTTACTTCAATTATTTAGGGAGATAATATGATAAAACATCTTTAAAAATCCTAATTTAGCATAGTTCTTTACATTATAGAGTAGGACACATTACCCTTCAACTACCTTCCAATTATCAAAAGCAAACAGTTTTTTCAAACATGTTAATGTGTGAAACCGTCACCAGCATGCATTGCAGGTTCATTGATACATGTACAATAGTAATTTGTCTTATGTCTTCCACCTAGTTTTTTTCTATTCCAATATACAATGCAGTCTCGTTTTCTTCCTCCCACATTAATAATATGTATTTTATTGCCCAGTCTGTGCACCACTGTAAAAGCACTTCACACATTCTCTTTCTATATAACATCAGCTGATATTTTTTGCATATATCTCAGTATATATTCCATCTCTTTATTTGTTTTATTGTACAATTTGAATGGAAAACTTCAAGAAAACATACATTTTTTGAAGGAAAAAAAAGTATGCTGGCATAAGCCTACCCATTTTAATCACCAGCAATCTTATTATAATCCTTGAGAGGGGGCATCCAAGTAGTTTGCTAGATTTAGGATATCTCCTCTGAGGGGACAGCCAAAGTGTAAAGGTTTAAAATTCCCAAAACTCAGTTTTGTCTATACACTCAGCACTGATGAAGCTCTCAGTGCCTGACAAACCAACCAAACTTACTAGTAAGCAGTATCACATTCATTATCACGAATTATTCTTTCTCGATATCATACCTTCAAGTTTGTATTTGTACCAACAAAGTATTGATAAACATGAAATCCAATAAAGGGGAATTGAAAAGTTCTGAGAGATGATTTCATCCAGAGTACAAAAAACCATGCTGAACAACTGATGGATTACAATAAAAAACACTTCTCTACTGAAAACAGTCATAACTCCTAAATAGCTTTCTTTTTTCCACATGGTACCAGACAGACACCAACTTCATATAATCTAACTTCTCTTCTTCTAAAAAGAAAGACATTACCTTTATGCAAAACATCCTTCAGAGAAACAATTTAATGCTATATAGTAATGAAATCGATTACAATTTGATTCTAGTCCTGATGTATACCCTTGTCACATATAAGTTTGGGCATTTCTCTAATCTCCTTAGACCCATTTATTACCTTTCAAAATAAGTGATTTCTAAAGATAGCCAAACATCAACCATCCAGGATATTTCTGACCACGTTTATTCCAAAAGAACAATCTTAGCATCAAATTCTAAGAGGCACCCAAAGTAATCCCCAATAAACAGCCACTGTGAGAAACATATATCAGTGATAATCATTTCTCAAAAGGTGTCACCACATAGTAAGTTTATATGCATCCAATGTAAGATCATGTGATTCTCTGAACTGGTTAAACACTAAACAGACACCCAGAGCCTAAAATGGAGAGTAATCTCTCACAACTGCCAAAGATATCCAAATTAAAATAAATAAATAACTATAGTATATAAATAAATAAATACTGAGCCAAACAAATCACTCATGAGAAAGAAAAAGAAACATATAAAACTACTAAATAACTTTAAATCATCAACATTAATTCACTAAATGTCATTATAGGTCAATGTAATTATTTTATTCACAAGACACTAATAAATAATTAAAATAGCCTAAAAGTAGGCAGAAAACTAAAATGTTGGTTTGTAACTATGACTTATATAAGCTGCCTCGCAAACCCTTAATTATTGTTATCCTTACGCTAGTCAAAGGTTTATAATAGTGAGCTTAAATATAATCTGAAAGTCATGTAAAAGAACACCAAGGAAAAGATTTTAAAGGAACTAGATTATAGCACATAAAAGAATTGCAAATGAATAAAAACTCATTAATTTCTCTAATGTGTTTAAATTGTGGTTGACAATCATCACTTTATTTTGATATACATTTTAAAATGTACAATCCATAAAATTTAAAGGAAATACAGTTTTTTTCTTAGGATCCATTATTATTATTTCCAATAAAAGAAAATGTTTCCCACAAAGGTGCCAGTAAGCAAAGTGTTCTATTCAAAGAAAAATCATAAAACAAAACAATAAATATAGTCAATCTATTCTCGCAATGGGTTACACAAAACCGCAAGAGGAAAAAACTCTATTTTTTTCACAAAATAATACTCCTTTAAAAACAAATTATTTCAAACTAGATAAAATCCGTATTCACACAAAGCAGATAACTACCAAGAGAATAACACCTAAGAAGTGCTTTACAACTGACTTACTTCATTCTGCAAAATCAAGGTAAGTCACAGCAGTTCATTTTCTAAAATACAAAATTTAAATTCTGCTCTGAAAGAACATAATACACATGACAAACATGCACATTTGCACAGAGTTTTAAACCTCCTGCAGTTTCAGAAATGACTTCTGAGTTCCAATCCTAGGAAATGTCTCCTTTTAATGAGGAAGCCTGATAATATGGAAGCTCAAAGAATACCCAGCAAGTGGGTTTTTCTTTCCCAACTTCACTGCCCCTGAAAAATGACCCACATGGTGTCATCACCTTCACAGAGTTGGTCTGCCATTCCTGTTGGATTTACTGAGCACTAAACCAAAGTTCTAGCACTTTATATCCACTCTAATCCACTAATGACTAAATAAATTTTAAAATCTTTTTTTCTTTCTTCCATTCAAAAACGTAAGTATGGAGCAAATTTCTTTTTCATATGGGTAAACATGTAAAATAAAAATTATATAAACATATAATCTCAATTCATATGTGTTAATTGTGTTTTCAAATGGGCAACACAGCAAACATGTTTATATGGCCATTTAATTAGAATCAACTTCTAACTAACATATGCAATCTACACAAGTCATATTTAAGAAAAAATAACATAAAATGCATTCACAATTGTTTTAAATTGTACCAAGGTGTGGATAATCCAAATCAGTGAAAATTTTTCCCATTCAGCTTTTCACAAGGAAGCAGGCAGACTTGCAGTCTTCTACCTTCTAGCTAAGTTAACTTTGGATAAATTATGAGGGAGGCACCCCAAAAACCCCAGAAATTATCTTTTGGAGAATGGGTGAAATATGGGCTTCCCCAGCTGTTAGTGTTCCAGAAGCCCATCTGCATCAGTGTACCAGCTAGTGTTGTTGTGAGAGGCTGCATTTGGCTTCACTGAATTGACCAAAAAACAGCATGATCCCTGTGCCCCACCCTCCCTATTCACCAAAGCTCAACCCAAATGAGTTTTCTTGTTTTCCCAGATGAAAAGTACTCAAAGGGAAACATTTTGCCGATGTGGAAGAGGTGAAACAAAAAACAGCAGAAGTACTAAAAGGAGTCAAATGGACAAGATCAAAAATTGTTTTGAGCAGTGGAAAAAGCATCTTAATAGGTGTACTGCATCAAACAGAAAGTATTTTGAAGATCACTGAAGTTTAAATACTTAAGAATAAATCCACAATTTTATGAATAAGTTCTGGATTTTTTTGGGGGGATCCTCCTTCATAAATCTCTGAGGCTTAGTTATCTCATTTGTAGTTTGTGTCTATACTAACAGCAGACTTAAAAATAAACAAATGGGGAGAAAACATCTTCTAGTGCTTTATCTAGTTTAATGCATAGCAACTAAACCAGAGAACAGTTGCTGGTAAGCATACCACCTCATGTTCTGTCATGTACTATGACACATACCTGACTTTTTCTTCAGACACAATGCAATCGGTATACCAGGATAAGTGACATCACATTCAGGGGTATCTTACTATTATAAGTCAGTTACACCCACTTGCCACAAAAATGTTTAGACTAAGTGACAGACTGTAGCCCTCAGATTTCAAAAAGAAAAGAGAATTATTTACATCTAGGTGAAGTGAAAACTCTGAAAACTAATTTCAGTATACAGTTAAAAACTTAATAAAAAACATTTGGGGTACTATCTTTTAGCAAAATCTCGATTTCAAAACTTCTAACTATGATTACATGAGGATATGCTTTAAAAAAAAAAGAAGAAGAAGAGGAAGAAAAAAGAACAGCAAAGGAAATCTAAAAAAATACTAACTATGGTTGCCTGGATAGAAGGACAAATGTTTTTTTTCCTTCTCTCTGGTCAATAGTTCTCACATTTTACTTACTATCCATGTATTGTATTAAGATGAGCTAATAGTTTTATCTAAGTAAAGCATTCAAGAATTTCATATTCAACCAAAAAAAGTTTAGGAAAATTTGTATGGGTAAATTACAATATGAAAGTCGGTCACTTTAAGCACCTGAGCTTAAAAAGAAAACTAAACAAAATACTCTAGCAACACTAACTTTATATTACACTTTAGAAAATTTCCTTTTCTCTGGATTGATTTTTAGATAAAAAATCATTTTAAAACTT